GATTCCGTCTCAAAAAAAAAAAAAAAAAAAAAAAAAAGACATCCCTGCCCTTAGCTGGGCACGGTGGCATGTACTTATAGTCTCAGCTATTCCGGAGACTAAGTCAGGAGGATCGCTTGGGCCCAGGAGTTTAAGCCCAGACTGGGTAACATAGCCAGACCCTGTCCCTTAAAACAAATAAAACAAAAAACAAACGAAAAAGGCCAGGGGTGGTGGCTTATGCCTGTAATCCCAGCACTTTGGGAGACTGAGGCAGGTGGATCACCTGAGGTCAGAAGTTCAAGACCAGCCTGGCCAATATAGTGAAACCCTGTCTCTACTGAACAATAGAAAAATTAGCTGGGTGTGGTGGTGGGCGCCTGTAGTCTCAGCTACTGCAGAGGCTGAGGCAGGAAAATGACTGGCAGAGGTTGCAGTGAGCAGAGATCACCTCACTGCACTCTAGCCTGGGCGATAGAGCAAGACTCCGTCTCAAAAAAAAAAAAAAAAAAAATCTCTGCCTTGGTGAAGTTCCCCTCATAGATGATAGGGGATGGACAGGGAATGACTATACAAAATAAATAAGTGCACTAAATACATTTGTTAAATGATATGGCCCATGTAGAGAAAGTTGGGAGAGGCCCATGGCGAGTGTAGGGAGGTCAGCATGTTCAACAGGGTGGAGAAGTGGAACCTGAGCAGAACCTAGAGGAAGTGAGGAGGGTCCTGGGAGGAAATGCGGGGAAGAGCAACCCAGGTGGAGGACACAGCACATGCAAATGCCCTGTGGTGGGTGTGTACCTGGGGTATTTAGGACCTCCAGAGGCCAGCAGGAAGGCAGGGATTTGTGCTCTGTGGACACTGAGGGGCAGTGAGGCCCTGCCAGCACCAACATCCTTGCTGGTGTTTCCCAGGCTGGCCTAGGCTGTGGTCAACTGGGTTCAGGTGACTTCACTCCCATGCCCTCTTCCCAGCAAGTAGTAGGTCCTTGGGGAAGGGGCTTCTTCCAAAGCTCAGGGCCGACGGGAGTGGGGAGGGAACTCGTGATCAGGGCACACATCTCCAGATGACATCTCCCCTGCCCCAGCTCCCAACCTCTGGTTCCTGGAGCCACCAGGGGTGGGATGAGGGCAATCAGGCCTGAGTCTATGAAGGGGATGCCGGACATTGCAGCCACAGCCCTTCACCACCCTCCTGGTTTTAAAGCACTCCCAGTGACAGTAGGGTTTCTGATAACCTGCAGTACATGCTGTCTGGGGAGCAGCTCTGGCCACCCATCCTGGCCCCTTCCCACCCATCTCCTCCCAGGAACTCTGGCAGGTCCCTAAGCTGTCAGCCAGCCCTGCTGGCCCCCAGTGGTGTCCTAAATCCCAGCAGCATGTCTGTGAGTGTGACCTTCACCACCAAATTTCAATTATATAGAAAGGAGAGAAACAATGCTTTTTTTTGGAGACAGGGTCTCACTGTTGTCGCTTAGGCTGGAGTACAGTGGTGCAATCACAGCTCCCTGCAGTCTCTCTCCTGGGCTCAAGTGGTCCTACCGCCTTAGTTTCCTGAGTAGCTGGGACTACAGGTGCGTGCCACCACACCCAGCTAATTTTTTTTTTTTTTTTTGTAGAGACAGGGTTTTACCATGTTGCCCAGGCTCGTCTCAAACTCCTGGGCTCAAGCAATCCGCCTGGCTTGGCCTCCCCAAGTGCTGAGATTACAGGCATGAACCACTGCGCCTAGCCTGGACATTTTCTTAAGAGCCCACTGTATGCCAGGTACTTTTGTACGAGTTACTACCTCTAATCCTCACAACAGCCTCACTCAAGAGATATGATACTCAAGAGATATTCTATGATAGAAATATTATTCTATTTTATGAACAGAAAATAGATTCAGAGTAGGGAAAGGTTTAGGTTTTACCCAAAGTCACCCAATAAGCACATGTTCATTTTAGCACTAAAACCGCATTTTAGTGATTGCTGGGAGTTTCTGCAGCCTGATTCAGAATTCAGGAGCGGGGGAGGTGGGGGTAGAGAAAAGAGAGGCCATCAGGAGGTTTGCCCTGGGAGCTGTTCCATGATAAATGGTTTCCTATATCTGAAGAGCTCAATCAAGGGCCAAAAGAGAGATAACCCTGCAGGTAGAAAGGAACTTTTGTTTGGTAAAGCTTCAGGAAGGGTGACTTTGGGTTAATGTGTAGCATGAATAACCACCCCTGTCCGTCAGTGGAGCAGGCCACCTCAAGAGGTGGGGAAACTGTCATCACTCTCATCACTGGGGACATGTAAGCAGAACTAACTTTTTCTGTTTGCCTAAGATGCCACAGAAGGAATGTTCTAGTGAGGGAGTTTGGCCTGGATAATTTATCTACAAGCTCTCAGACTTGGGAGCTTTCGAAGGGCCCAGGCAAGTACTTGTGCCCCAAAGTATCTTTGGCAGGGTTTGTTTTTTTTTTTTAGATGGAGTCTCACTCTGTCGCCCAGGCTGGAGCGCAGTGGCACAGTCTCGGCTCACTGCAACCTCTACCTCCCAGGTTCAAGCGATTCTCCTGCCTCAGCCTCCTTAGTAGCTGGGATCACAGGTGTGCACCACCACGCCTGGATAATTTTTGTATTTTTAGTTGAGATGGGGTTTCACCTTGCTGGCCAGGCTGGTCTTGAACTCCTGACCTCGTGATCTGCCCACCTTGGCCTCTCAAAGTGCTGGGATTCCAGGCATGAGCCACCGTGTCCAGCCTGGCCCCGGCTGGAGTGCAGTGGTGCGATCTTGGCTCACTGCAGCCTCCACCTCCTGGGTTCAAGCAATTCTCCAGACTCAGCCTCATGAGTAGCTGGGATTACAGGCGTGCACCACCATGCCTGGCTAATTTTTGTATTTTTAGTGGAGACGGGGTTTCTCTGTGTTGGTCAGGCTGGTCTGGAACTCCTGACCTCATGATCCACCTGCCTCGGCCTCCCAAAGCGTGGGGATTACAGGCGTGAGCCAGGCAGGAGGTTTTTATCTGACTTGTTTCAAGCTGCAAGTCTGTCTGCTGGGTGGGCTGTTTGCTTTTCACAGAGGAAGGGTGGCCCGGGTTGGGTAGGCTGGAGTGGCGCATCGGATTGCATCAGTTCTGGTGTGACCTCTTACGGTTGCCTTACTTTGTTCTCAGATAAAGCAAACACACAAAAATTCGTCTTCTGGGCTTAACAAAACAACAGGAGTGACCAGTTAGGTCAGAAGACTGGAGCATCAGTGAAGTGGATGTGTGGTAGGTGGAGGGAAAAGGCTTGCTAAGAAGCCCTGCCGCTGCCAGGGGCTTCTCAGAAATGGCTCTGCCTCTAGCAGCTCTGCCTGGACACTGAGCAGGGAAAGGCTTCTGACACTCATTAGTAATAGTGGTAAGTCAGAGAACCAGCTCTGAACCTGTATCCCCAGCCCTGCCGGGGGCCGGTGCTTACTGAGCACTTCCCACAGGCCAGTTCCTGGGTGATGAGTTTTACCAACATGTATTTCCCTTTTACTTTGAGGAAAATGAAGATGGGCTCAGTCACAGAGCTAGTGCATGCTCCAAAGCCAGTCTTTCTGTCTCCTTGGTTGGCCTGCCCCATCCTAGCGATGTTGTGAAGATTGGGACTACCTATAAAGCAGCACCCAGTGGCTGCTCAGTAAATGTTCAATACTGGTAGGTGCTGTGGGCCAAGATGGAGAGAAATGGGCCACCTGGAGCAGGAGGCAGCTGACTGCAGAAGTCCTGCCTGAGTCCCCAGCAGGCCGGGTGACTGAGCAAATCTTAGAACCTCTCAGTCTATTTCCCCATATTACATAACACCTGGCTACAAAAGGGTTTCTTTTTTCTTTTTCTTTTTTTTTGAGACGGAGTCTCGCTCTGTCGCCCAGGCTGGCATGCAATGGCGCCATCTCCGCTCACTGCAACCTCCGCCTCCTGGGTTCAAGCGATTCTCCTGCCTCAGCCTCCTGAGTAGCTGGGATTACAGGTGCGCGCCACCACGCCCGGCTAATTTTTGTATTTTTAGTAGAGACGGGGTTTCACCGTGTTAGTAAGGCTGTTCTCCAACTCCCGACCTCAGGTGATCCGCCCACCTCGGCCTCCCAAAGGGTTGGGATTACAGGCGTGAGCCACCACACCCGGCCTACAAAAGGGGTTCTTTTGGGACCCAATCATCTAAACTCTTCCCTTCAATTTGCCCCCCTCCATCACTACTCCACAGCTCACCGGTCTTTTCTCTGTTCTTTAGGTACCCGTCCTGTCTCCAGGCCTTTGTACATACCACTCGTCTTGTTTGCCCTGCCCTCACACTTGGTACGTCTGGCACCTCCCCTGCACATTCTAAGCATCCTTCCCTACCATTTGATCCACCCCGTTTTTTCCATCACAGTAGTCATCCAAATTATAACTCTTTATTCACGTTTTGTCTTTTATCTCAGTCAGGAGGCAGCGAGGGTGGGGGACTCTGTGTTGTTCCCTCCAGTACCCTCAGCGCACAGACTTGTTCAGAAAATACTCGAGGGTTAATGAGAGAATGAATGAAAGAAAAAATGAGTGGAAGAGGGGTCTTTGGCAGAGCTAAAGAGCCTGGGCGCCGTGGGGGCGGGAAGCTCCAGGCAGTGCTCGTTCCGCACCGCCCCCAGAGTAAAGTGAATTTCACAAGGGGGCGAGGGGCCCTGGGAGTGTGTTACCCAGGCCAAGTTCAACTCCGCAGGGGGCTGGGCGGGAAACTACTTATAGCTACGACCCGCGGCCCCCGGCCTCTAGCCCCATCGCCGCCAGCCAAGGGCAGGGACGCCAGGTCAGTTGGAGGGTCCGGTGCAGCAGCCGGCGACCAAAGGCACCGATCGGGAGGCCGGATCCAAGGGGATTCTGCCACGTGGCTGCCTCGGAACCGGCAGGTTCTGCCGCGAAAGACACTGGGACTTGTAGTTCTCATATCCTCTAGACGCCGTCGCGAGCTCTCAGATAAAGCGGCCTTCGCGGTGACGGGGAACTACATTTCCCGGAAGGCCGGGATATGTTGCAGTCACCAGGAAAGCGCCCCGGCTGGCGGCACTTACTCGGCGCTATAGGGCCGGTTCCGGGGGCGCGTGCCTGCACCGGGGGGCCTTCGTGGTTCCTCCTGAGGCGGCCCCCGGATGAAGAGATCTGGGGACCCGGGAGCCAAGCCTACGAGTAGCTCGGTGGCGGGCCCTGACTGCTGCGGAGGCCTCGGCAATATTGATTTTAGGCAGGTACTGACGGCACCGGACCGCCGCGGAAACGGGGAGAGGGATCTGGAAGGCCCGAGGGGCGTGAAAGCGTGCGGCGAGGGGGCGGGACCGCCAGTTCCCAGGCAATGGAGGCGTGGCGTGGCAGGGGCGGGGCGCTGCGTGCGGGGGCGCTGCGTGCGGGAGCGCTGGCTGTTGTCTCTGTGTGTGTGTGTGCGTGTGCGCGCGCGTGTAAACCTCAGATTGCGTGTGTCAGAGAGGGGGGCGTTCCTGAGCTCGTCTGGTTGTGTGCCCGTGTGTGGCCCTGAGATTGTGTGAGTCTCAGAGGTTGTGCGTGTTAGTCTTTGGACTTGTGTGTGCCTCACTGAAATTATGTGGTGCTCTGAGAGTGTGCGGGAGAGTGAGTGTAAGTGTGTATGACCGAGGCTGTGTGTGACTGAGTGACTGAGCGTGGGCGAAGGGTGAAGGAGACCCATTATATGTTTGGGAGTGTGTTGTGTGGCCCCTGCTCCCGTCCATCCCCCAGGGTCAGGAGGCCAGCTTTTGCCCAGAGGCAGGAGAGTGGTGGGGATCCTGCATCTCTCTCAGCCGGCCCTGAGCAGGCTGCAGACTACCGTCCAACCCATTCGGGGCCAGGATGGGTGCGACCGGCCCCAGAAGCTGGGGACCTGGCCTGCCTGCTGAGGCTGCCCTCTCCAGAGTCCTAGGCCGGAGAGTGCCTGTCCTGGCATCTCCCCAGGCTCCCAATTCCAATGGATTCCAGTTTCCAACCTCTCCTGCACCCTTCAATCAAAGCTTCCTCTTAGATACTCCATTTATCTTTTTCATCACCCACTCTTCATGAAGCCTGTAAGGCACATCTCTTCTCCAAGCAGCTTCTAATCCAGTTCCTTCACTCCCTTCATTCCTTACTCACATGTGCATTTATTCACTCACTGATCCAGCCAGTATGATTCAGGGCCTGCTGAGGGCCTCCTGTCACTCAGAAGGTTAAGGGCACTTCTCTCACTGAGCTTTCATTCTAGGGAGGGAGACTGTAGGCCTGGAAAGCCAGAGAGTCCTCTGAAGGAACTAACACCAGTTAGTGTTTTGAAGAGTGAATAGCTGATGGGGAGGTGGGATTGAAATCCCAAGAGAGCCTGTTGCCCTATCTGCGAGGGAGGGACCTGGGATCTGAGAGCCAAAGGGTCAGTCAGTGGGGCAAGATGCCCCAGTGGAGGGAGGCAGGTGCGAAGCCCTCCAGGAGGCGCAGGAGCAGCTGAGGGAGCGCAGGACCGTTGGCCAGATCGGTGCTCAGCAGAGGAGAGGAAGAAGACTATTACTTTAGTAAACTGTTCATTGAATTACAACATGCAGTCAGATGAGTGATGGGTCCTACCCCTACAGCTCCTGCATTTTCACCAGGTAAACCTATATCTGATAATCCTCAGATCAAGATGGGAGGTCATGATCACCTCCAGGGGCTGCCCTCAGAAGCCGCCGCGTAGAAGAGTGGGTGAGGGAGCCGTGTAGAAGGGGGGCAGAATGCAAGAGGGCAGTGTCCTGTTGCAGACCCAGCTAGGGGCTGCCCCAGGGCCTGCCAGTGGGTAGGGGAGACTAACTGGGTGTGTGAGGGATGGGCTTTTCTGCTCTTTTCCTTTCTCCCTGGGGCTGTGTAGCTGGAGAGAGCTGGGGCTGGGGTTCGGGTCAGGGTGACCCTTGTTGACTAACATTCTGTTTTTCTTCTGCTGTCCTTGTTGGTGCAGTTAAGCTTCCTGTTGCCAAGGGATTTTTCTTAAAAAAAGAAGGAAAGAAAGAAACACACAACATACAACATTGCGTATTTGCTTATGTGGTAGCTCTCCTCCCTCCTCAATCGAAATCTCTGGTTTTAAAATATGTCAGTCCCTGGCCTGAGAGAACTGCAGGGTTTTTCTTCACCCCGTGGGTGTCTGAGCTGCAGGATCTCAGGTGCTAACCCTGTGCTGTCCAGTAGAAACATCATGTGCCACATGCATAATTTGAACCTTTCTAGTAGCCACGTTAAATTAGTAAGAAGAAATGGAAAATAGCAAAGAAATAGAAAAAATGATTTTAACAATATATTTTTTTGTTACCAAAATATATATCAAAATTATTTCATCCCGTGGTACTCCAAGCTTGTGGCACCGCCTGTGACCGGTGGCTGCCATGTCATAACAAACAGTGCTGCTCTGGGTACCATGCCCTCCACCAGCTCTTTTCTGGGCCTGCTTCAGCAGGTACAGAATCTTGCATTTGTTTTTAATTAAAAAAAAAAAAAAAAATCAGCCGTTGGGGCCGGGCATGGTGGCTCACACCTATAATCCCAGCACTTTGGGAGGCCGAAGTGGGCGGATCACCTGAGGTCGGGAGTTTGAGACCAGCCTGACCAACATGGAGAAATCCCGTCTGTACTAAAAATACAAAAACTTAGCCAGGCATGGTGGCGCATGCCTGTAATCCCAGCTCCTCAGGAGGCTGAGGCAGGAGAATCACTTGAACCCGGTAGGTGGAGGTTGCGGTGAGCCGAGATCACGCCATTGCGCTCCAGCCAGGCCAACGAGAGCAAAACTCTGCCTCAAAACAAAAACAAACAAACCAAAAAATCAGCCGTTGGACTGAGGAGTTAGGGTGAGGAGTGTGCCCGCTGCAGCCTCATTGACTGAGGCCCTTTTGCTCCTTGTTGCCCTCCTTGCCAGGGGAGTCTGGAGCCTTGCTCCTCAGCTGGGCAGCTGCCTGAAGGCAGTGGGGTGGCAGGTGGACGAGAGCAGGGTCTGCGTCTTGCTGTCCACAGGCAGGGGCACCTCCAGGATTCAGAAGATGGCTCCAGTAGGGCCTAGGGGTGCGGGCACCGAGGCTGGCAGAGCACACTAAGGTCCTCAGAGCAAGGGCACATGCCCAGGTCTCAGGTCCCTTTTCCATAGAGAATCACCTGCTTACCAGAGCGGGTGAGTGATGATGTCTCCAGCTTGGTGTTGGTGTCAAGAAGAATGGGGACAGTAAGACCAGAATGAGATGAGGGGTATAGAGAAGCCTTAGGAAGTGTCGAGTGCAGCCCACCTGAGGGTGGTCTTCAAGAAGGCGAAGCCCTTGTATTCAGAAGGCTCAGAGACCTGGGGCTGGGGACACAGGTCACTGTGTGTAGTACGGGCACCTGAGCAGGGCGCTGGAGGCAAAACCCTGATGCCTTTCAGAGAAAGATGTTTGCCTCTATACAAAATGGTTTCTAAAACTTTTTTGATTGTATTACTTTAGTTGAAATAAACATTAGGCTGTTATAGTAGATGAGTTAGTCTGTAGTGTTTTCAAGGCCATACATTTTGTCTTCAGTAATTTTGGCATCACCCAAGACAGGCTTTCCATGGCAGCTCATCAAAACCTTGGGCAAATGACAGAAACGCTCGGAGCTTGTTTCCCCTGCCTCTGTTGAGATGATACTGTTTTTCCTCATTGAGCTGTAAATATTAATTACATTGATGTTTTGAATGTTGAACCAGCTCTGGATTCCTGGGGTGATCCCTGGCTGGTCCTGATGTATTATCATTATCCTTTGTATATATTGCTGGATTTGATTTGCTCTAATTTTTGGGGGGATTTTCTTTCTTTGTCTGGTTTTATTTGATTGATTTATTTTAAGACAGAGTCTCGCTCTGTCGCTCAGGCATGTGTTCAGGAGTGCAGTGGCGTGATATCAGCTAACTGCAACCTCTGCCTCCCGAGTTCAAGCAATTCCCCAACCTCAGCCTCCGGAGTAGCTGGGTTTATAGGTGCACCCACCACCATGCTCGGTTTCTTTTTTTTTTTTTTTTTTTTTTGTATTTTTAGTAGCAACAGGGTTTCACCATGTTGGCCAGGCTGGTCTCGAACTCCTGACCTTAAGTGATCCACCCGCCTTGGCCTCTCAAAATGCTGGGATTACAGGCGGTGAACCACCGCACCGGCCTGGTTTTAGTGTTAGGGTAATACAGTGAGTTGGGAAGTGTTGCCTCCCTCTTTCATATTCTGGAAGAGATTGTGTGGAATTGGAATTATTTTTTTCCTTAAATGTTTGGTAGAATTCATCCAGGGAAACCATCTGGGCTCAAGGTTTTCTTTTTTTAGGTTTTTAAGCCATGAATTCAATTCCTTTAAAAGATAAAGGATTATTTCTTGAATGAATTTTGGCAGTTGTGTCTTGCAAGAATCAGTTCATTTCATCTAAGTTACTTAATTTGTGTTATTCATAGTATTCCCTTATTATCACTTTAATGTTTGTGAGGTCAGTAGAGAAGTCCCCTCTTTTATTTCTGATATTAATGTTTTGTGTCTTTTCTCTTTTTTTCTTGGTCAGCCTGGCTGGAGGTTTCTCAATTTTATCAGGAAAAAAATTTTCGCCAAAGAACCAACTTTGGGTGTGATTTTTGTTTTCTCTATTGTCTTCCTGTTTTCAATTTGATTGATTTTTGCTTATCTTTAATTTTTTTGTCCTGCCTCCTTTGGGTTTAACTTATTCCTCTTTCTCCAGTTTCCCTCCCTCCCTCCCTCCCTCCCTTCCTTCCTTCCTTGTCAGAGTCTCCCTCTGCTTCCCAGGCTGGAGTGCCGTGGTGCATTCTCGGCTCACTGTTCAACCTCCATCTCCTGGGTTCAAGCGATTCTCCTGCCTCAGCCTCCCGGGTAGCTGGGATTACAGGCACCCTCCACCACGCCTGGTTAATTTTTGTATATTTGGTAGAGACGGGGTTTCACCATGTTGGCCGGGCTGGTCTTGAACTCCTGACCTCAAGTAATCTGCCTGCTTCGGCCTCACAAAGTGCTGGGATTACAGGTGTGAGCCACCACGCCCAGCCACTCTTTCTCTAATTTCTTAAGGGCAAAGCTTATATTCCTGACCTGGGACTTTTCTTCCTTCCTAATAGAAGCCCTGCCTTAGCCGCATCCCACAGGGTCTCATGTGTTCTATTCTCATTTTCATTCAGTTCAAAATGTTTCTAGATTTCCCAAGACTTCCCATTTGGCCCTCGTGTGCATTGTTTCCACGATCGCTT